GCTCCCAATCCTCTGCTGCTGTTGGGGGCTGAGGATGCTCAGCTCCCGGGACTTTGCTGCTGCTTGGAGAGGGGCTCCACTCCAAATCCGCTGCTGCAGTTTTCAGGGGCAGGTCTCAGCTGCCCAGGCTTTGCTGCTGCTTGGGCCTGGGCACCGCTCCTGATCAGCCTCCGCTGATGCTCCTGGAGATGGGTCTCAGCTGCCGGTCTGTGCTGCTGCTGCCTGGGGATGTATGTCCACTCCAGAGCTTCTGCTTCTGGGGGTGTGTCTTGGCTCCTGAACCTCAGCTGCTGTTGGATGTGGGGCTCCACTCCCACCTAGTCACTGCTGTTGTGGAGGAAGATACTGGGCTCTAATGCTGGCATTACTGTTGCTGGGGGTGGTGCTCCACTCTGATCAGGCTGCTGCTGTGTGGAATGGTGCTTGGCTCCAGTGGGGTCCACTGGTCTGATGGTGCAAGGTGCACTGGTGCATTCAGGTTGCTTGGCCCTAGTTGCTCCCCACTGCCTCCTCCCAGAGAAAACCATGGATCTTCCAAAATGGTGGGGCCTTCCAGCTGTGCAGGGAGAAGTGCCCTGACAAGCTGCTTACTGCTGCCTGCTCCCTGTCCACAGCACAGGAACCCTCTGCCCCACATTTCTGCCTTGTTTGAGGTTGCTTGTCCACACTTATGTTCACTCACAGTCTCTCACACTCACCTTCATTCCGGTCCTGCCTGCTGCCATCTTCTAGTCTGTCTTTGTAATATTTGTATGTCTGTCTGGGTGTTATGTGTGTGTGTCCTTAAAATCTGAAAGGTTTTTATTTCATTTGCTGCCTAATTGCCCTGGTAGTGCCCTGCTCACCATGTTAAATTGAACTGATTGGCACAGAGAAATCTTTGTCTTCTTTCTGATTGTATTAATCATGTATTTTATAATCTGTATTTTAAGATAATTTGACATCTTTGGTGAGTTTCAGACATAGGAAGACACTGACTTCCCTAGGGAACCTGATTCCATGTTGGTGGTGGACAGCTGGCCTGGGACAGTGTTCACATGCATACCACCTGATCCGGTGCCACGTTTCTCCCCACCTCCTTCTCTATCCTTCACACCAAGACTGTATGTCCCCTGGCCCAAACCAACCCATGGCAGGTACCTCACAACTAAGGACAGTTCCTGTGCCCCAAAGCCTGCTGGAATTGTTCAAACTAGCTACTTCTAAGCTGCTTACTGTGTCCTGTTTTACCTCTCCTGTGGAAACCCAAATAAAGGCCCTGGCTGAAGTTTTGTCTCACTCCTGATTCTGTGTCCTGACCAAACTGGATGAATCCCTGTGGCCATGCCTGGCATAAAGTCCTTCCTCATCTTGGGAAATATAAGTAATAAAAATATTTCAGTGACATTGGCCTGTCCATATTTTCACTTAGCCAGCCATAAATTAAAATTAAGGCTATAAGTTAGACACTGATCCTGAGGAAAAGAATTCAGGTAAGAGAGTGAAGCCACTGTGGAATTGAGTGAATGAGGTCTTCAGGAATGAGTGCACAGAAGAGTTGATGTCTACTGAGGACCCCATGGTGGAGGTGGAGGATGTAGGTGCTGAGCAAGGAGATACTCCCCTTTGGTTCCCTCACTGATCTCCCAATAGACAGTCAAACTGACAAAGGGAAAGAACTCCAGCCACTACTGGCCCTGACTGCCATCCACAGGCTCCCATTATGCATTTTGTAGTGACATGCTTATTGTATTGGGAGGTGTCAGGAAGGGTGAAATCTCTTTCCCATCAGGAGCAGCTGAAACACACTCTTTGGGGATTGGTTTGGGAGCCAGGAGACACTCCTCTACCACAGGTGATGGGAGTGAAAACAATTCACTCTTAAGACCTGGGCTTCTAATGAGGTTCTGGGTGAGAGAGTCTGTCTTTCCATCTGTCTCTCTGTATCAATCTCCTATGTTGGGACAGGCCTTGTAATAGGTGCTGTAGTGAATGTTTAACATGCTCCCAGCATGTGAAAACACATTTGTTGTTTTTAGTATTTACACATACTATTTCAAGAGTAGCTATGAATTTTTACAAATGCATAGTTGTAACACCAAAATGGAAAACACTCCATCAACCCAAAGGAACACCATCATGGTACCTGTTTATACTGAACCCACCTTTAAACACATGTCTGTTTGAAGTTCCTCCTCTCCCTTTGCCTCTTCCAGAATGTCATGTAAGTGGATCACCATGTTGTCTTTCAAGTCCTCTTTAGAAACTTTGGCACCACATTTGTAAAGGTACATAATTATATAACCTTAGAAGTGTTCTTCTGAGGTTAAAATTGTTGAAGTTGCACAGTAGAGCCCACATGAGAACTTTGAGGTGGAGAAATTCCACTATTATGAGCTATGTAAATTTGGACAAGATTTCTGCTTAACTTTCATTTGCATGATGGGAGGAATGACATGAGCAGGGAATCATGTGAGATACCAATAATTATAAAGTCACATTAGCTCTATACCTCTAAGAAAACAAACTAGCACAGAAACAAGAAAAGGGACAAAATCTGGATTTATTTCCTCTTCAATGAAATAAAAGCCATCACCTTTTACTGAGTGTATCATAACATCTCCTCGAAGTTAAACATATAGAAATGATCTCTGAAAACAGCAAAAATGAGCACGGAAGGCTTTGTGCCCTCCATTGAAACAAAAAACTTACAGCTGTTCCTCTTCCACACTGAACTTGCACAGGTATCACTACTCATAGAGAATTAATGATGGGCTACAACTGTGCAGAAGACCAGAACTTTCTTAAACTGGGAGGAACTCAAAGGTTTCATAAGGTACACAAATTGTGTCTCTCAGTTGAAATAGCAGCTAAATGATACCCCATTTCAAAAATGAATTGCAAATTATTTCATTGGTGTTAAATAGAAACATCAGTACCACAAACACCATGGCTCAAAGCAGTGAGAAGTCCCCCATGCCACATACCCATGTCCATATTCGCAATCAAATAGCACGTGCTCTCAAACCAGGAAGCCTGTCTATAGCGTTTTAGAAAACCACTGCTGTGAATCCCAGGAAGGCAGAAGTTTAGGTTTTGTTATCCATTGTTTAAACCCACACTTGAGCAGATCTGAACAATAATGACTTCCCCATTGACTTAGGCCCCTACCCTCCATAATAAAGATATAGATAATCCATACCACTTCCCTATAATCTCACCTGTCAGTGTGTCCTTATCTTCAAAACCTTTAATTTTTTTTTAGAATCCAAAGCTTTTTCATTTAACCATCTCTCTTTCCCACAAAATCATAAGCACCAGGAGTGCAAGACATTTTTTTCTTTCATGTCTGTTTATTCACAACATAGACTTGAACAGTTGTGCTAAATTCGGTATGTTTTCCATTTAAACCACCTGGCATGTGCAGGGTGTTGAAAAATTAACATTAAGATCATATTTTCAACCTGGCTCAGTTGGTTTGAGTGCTACCCTGATATGTCAAGGTTTCAGTTTTTATCCCCCATCACACACAAGATCAATCAATGAATGCACAAACAAGTGGAACAACAAACTGATGTTTCTCTTTCTCTCTTCCTAAAATAAATTTTTTAAAAAAGTAAAAAACCCTTTATACTCAGTGAGAATGGCTTCATTGGAAGAGAGATATTAACTGTGTTTTCCTGCTAGGTTTGTGCTCTTTGACAATATCCTTAAATTTATAAACCTCATAAAGGAGATAAGTGTCATATATCTTGCTAAGGACTCTGTGATTAGGAATATATATATATAATGTTTTTAACTGAAGTACTTTGTGGAAATGTGTCCAAGACACTATAGAAAACATTTCGGTATTTAGACAACAAGAAAGGCAAAAGCTGTTCCAGGCAACTGGTTGCTGGCCATACACACCCTGCCTACTTGTAGAAAAGTCACACACGTCCCTCCTCACACAAAGTTACTTCATGACCACAATGAATCAAGGCAATAGCAAAGACATTCATGTCTGTATAAGTGATAAAAGAACAGTCACCAAAGAATAAGTGTCAAAAATTCCCCTTTTATCACTAATATGATTTGTGCTTCTTACAATTGAGGTTTATCTTCAAGTCATTTTTTTCTGCCTTCTAAATAAAAATGGTTATCACCACCCAAGACAGACTTAAGTTCATTTCCTCACAGAATCCAATGAAGAAAACTGTCTTGCTTCCCTGAAGGGCAATCAGATGGTTTGTCATAAGAAATCAAGAAACCCTCTTCAGTGAGCTGTTACTGTTACAGCCATGTCATTGATGGTTGTGGTCATTCTTATTATTCAAATTCATTTCATAACATCTCTCTTTTATGACAGGTGTGACCCTGTTAGTCTTCGGTTGGAGGGGACTAAAAAACATGATTGAAGTTTTTTATGTTATGAATAGGAAAGTGGTCTCGTGCCAAACGTTATAAGTATCAAAACATTAAAAATATAATTTGCCCAAGGAAAACATGTCTGAATTTGTACACACATGATAATTGTGCCTCAGAATGTATAATGATTAATTAAATGGGAAAAAAATTACAATTTGATCTGAAGATACATAATTACAATGGGATATTTAAATATATCCCCAGGAAACAAAAAAGACAATAGTTCTTGGCTTAAGAGTGCTTGGGGAAACAGTTAATATTTCTTTGAAAAGTACATAAGTATTTATTAGAGAAATATGCACATAATTTCCATCACAAGAACCAAAGGTAATTGAAAACACTGAGAGACTGCGCTCAGCTCTGAGTAGCAGGAAACACCCAGAGTCGGCTGCAGTGAGGAAAGTGCTGGTTCACACGGAGGGACCAGGACCAGCTCAGAGCGGTCACTGCACAGAGTGCTGGAAGAACAAGCTCACGTGGCTCCTCTGCGCTGTCACAGTGGAATCAGAATCAGTCGGCAGTAGTATCAACGGGACAAGATGATTACTAGTCGAATTAGACCTAAGACAAATGCAACCTAGAGAAGAATGCGTACATTCAGAAAACAGTCTCACCATGACGGTCTACATTTGTTGCCACCATATGGTGGACACCTCTGGGCTTGCAGGAAAATCCAACCTATGCTGGATCTTTACTGTTGAATTCTGAACACCTGTAAAATGGAAGTGAAGCAGCCGCTGGTAGTTTTGAGGATATTCTTGGCTGGCAGGGCAAAGATCGAGGAACACAAACTAAAAGCAAACGTACATAAAAGCTCCATGCATTTGTCTGTCTCTTCATACAAGTGGCTCCAAACCCAGTCTAATCCTATTTCATTCAAGTTTCATGGATGTTCAGCCTTGGTGATTTGTAACACGGAACCATAAAGGCAACAGATTGTGGAAAATGTGGTCCACAACATTCCTCATATTGATATAACAGTCAGGAAGGGTCATCTCCAACTCTAGATTTTATTGTCCTAACACAGGTATTCTCTTCTTAATGCCAAGTTCATAGTCCAAATCCCAGCCAAAGCAATGACAGAAAGCAAAGGAACAAGATGAAAATCATTCACATGGACTCTACAATAAATTTTGTGTACTTACAAATATATGGCAAATATTTATTGACCAAAATAATACTTAATGTCAAATGTAACTGAAAAATTTAAAAAAAAACATGTATTAACAAGAAAATGGAGTAAGGCGCTTCGGGCCAATGAAAAGGCACTTTTCTGTTAAGGTAGAATATATATGTGGGTGAGGCATTTTCATTCAGTACTTGCCACAGAAGGCCAGTAGGAAAAATCCCCCAAATATCCAAGTATCATTATTCAACGTTCCTTTCTTTATAGAACAGTTACAAGATTACACAGAAGTTAAACCTACTTGCATATTAGTAAAACATTTTACCCATGGATCTAACAAAAGCTAATGTAGAAACACAAAGTGTTTATGAACTGACTAAAAGGAAAAAAAAACCTATTCAACTTCTTAGAAACTCTTTCTTAGAGTACCTACAGAATTATATTACGTCAATATTTACTTACTAAAGCAAGAGGAACTCCATACCAGAGAATCACTTTAAGAATGAGTCAGTCATATTGACAACCCTCAGAAGAGGGGGTGGTGGAGGAAGGGGAGAGTTAAACCACAGAACTTATAGGCATGTACGCATAACCGATGGGCACGGACAACAAAGCCGGGTATGGGGTGGGGGAGATGGGGAGAAGGGTGCCAATGGGGAAAAAAAGGAGAAACAGCTGTAACAAAAATAAATTAATAAAAAATTAAAAGACATATATAAAAAAAAAACAAAAAACAAAATGTAACTGCTATACATATTTTTAAGTTTACTCTGCATGGTTAAGATTCCATCTATCATTTTATAAAGTCTAGAAATCAATAAAGCAACAAATACAGTCTTAAAAAAAAAAAAAGAATGAGTCATAACAACCATGGATGTCTGACGTTTATAGCATTTCTTTCCTGTTGTGAATTTGTGGGGTATATGAATTAATTTGCACCAGGCTTTCATGTACTAGTTACAGGAATATGATTTCCTTCCAGTGCAGTTTTCAGGCTACTGTGAAAGTATTTGTAAAAACTTAAGTTTGTCCTCAGTGTCAGTATTACAGTAGCTGTCTGGTGCACATTCTCACGTGGTCTTGTTGAGATATAAGGCAAAATGAAGGTTTTTCTCCATTGTTTACATTCAATAGAATTCTCTCCACTTTGAGTTTTTTTCCTGGCCTTTCCTAGGAAATGGGACAGCTGAAGGCATTTCCACACTCTTTATTGTTATATGCTCTCTCCGTGTGCATTCTTATGTGTCCATGAAAGGCTCCCCCAATATCCTTATATTCATAGAATTTCTCTTAGGTATGAGTTCTTTCAGTGTTTTGTAAAGAACTAGGCTGACCGAAGGCTTTTCTACAATCTTTAATTGACAGGGCTTCTGTTCAGAGTGAGTCCTTTTATTCTTCATAATAAACTGGAAGAAATGAATGTCTTCTAACATTCCTTACATTGCTAGGGTCCATCTCCAATCTGGGTTACCACATGTGATGCACAGCTGAAAGATAAAAGCAGGCTCTCCCACATTTACATTAACAGGCTTTATCTCTAGAATGTGTTTTCACATGTTTACGAAAACTACTTGAGAAACTGAAGGCTTTACCACATTCCTTACATTCATAGGGCTTTTCTCCACTGTGTGTTCTTTCGTGTACTCGAGAGTACATGGGATAACTGAAAGCTTTGCCACATTGCTTACACTGATACGGTTTCTCTCCACTATGAGTTTTTTCATGAATTTGAAAGTAACTGAGACGACTGAAGGCTTTCCCACATTGCTTACATTCATAGGGTTTCTCCCCGGTATGAGATCGTTCATGATTTCTAAGGGAAGTGGGATAACGGAAGGCTTTCCCACACTCCTTACATTCATGAGGCTTCTTTCCATCATGAGTTCTTTTATGATTTTTAAGATATTTGAGAAAACTGAAGGCTTTACCACATTCTTTACATTCGTAAGGCTTTTCTCCACTGTGTATCATTTCATGACTTCGGAAGTTTCTTGGACATCTGAAATCTTTTCCACACTCCTTACATTTAAAAGGTCCATCTCTAGTGTGCTTGATCATGTGTCTCTGAAATAAGGGGAGAGAACTCCAGGCTTTCCCACACTTCTTACACTCATAGAATTTCTCTCGACTATGAGTTCTTGCATGTCGACATAAGTTACTTAAGTACCTGTAGGCTTTACCACATTTTGTACATTCATAGGGCCTTTCTCCACTGTGTTTCTTTTCATGTACGTGAATGTACCGAAGATGCTTGAAAGCTTTCCCACATTGCTTACATTTATAAGGCTTCTCTTCATATTCCTGACATTGGTCTAGTTGGGGTCTAGTGTGAGAGCTCATGTGGTTATTAAAGGATAAATAGTGCATGAAGACTTGTCTACACAACTTGGATGTAGGTAGTTTTATTGCAGTAGTTTTTTTCTTTTCATTAAGATTTGGAATCTGGCTGAAGGTTTCTCTACATTGACTACCTTCCTTCCTCTGTACTGAATGACTGCTGCAAAAAATCAGAAGCATATTATTAATACTTTACTTATTAATGATTTAATATTTAGTAATAGCACGACAATGATATATTTACCATTCTCAACGGAAGTGTGGGGTTTCTGCACATTCTGATTGTTAGAAAGTAGATATCCTAAAAACCCTGAAGGAGGGATCAATATTATAAAAACAGTAATATTCATTAATGGTGTTTCTGAATACTGTTCCAAGTGTACCTGTTTTTTTTTTTTTGTTAAATCCTCACCTGACAATATTTTTCCATTTATTTTCAGACCGAGGGGAAGGGATTGAGAGAGGGAAAGAGAGAGAGAAAGATTGATGTGAGAGAGAGAGACATCGATTGGTTGCCTCCCCTATGACCCTGACCAGGGCCAGGGACTGAACTGCAACTGAGGTACGTGCCCTTGACCATAATCAAACCCAGGACTCTTTGGTCCGTGGGCCAATGCTCTAACCACTGAGCAAAAATTGGCCAAGGCTGTAACCTTTTAAAAAAAAATCCTCACTCAAGGTTATGTTTTTATTGATTTTGAGAGAGAGAAACATAGATATGATATAGAGAAATCAACTGGTTGCCTCCCGTACACAGCCTGACCTGAGATCAAATCTGCAACCTAGGTATATGCCCTGAGCAGGAATCCAACCCACAGCGTTTTGGTGTACAGGATGACGCTACAACTAACTGAGCCACCCAGCCAGGGCCTAAGTGTACTATTTTTATACACTACCTAGGTCACATTAGAGAAAAATCTTCTGATGAAAGTATTCGAAGGATCAATAAATCTGAAGGTAGGCTGATATGATTCGTTAGCCTGTGTTTTAAATTAGATAACATATTAAGATTCTCTTGTGGGACACTGCTTTCTCATGTCAGTGTGACTCACCTAAGATTCATCCCATGGTTTTCATACTGATCTTCACTGTCATGGTCTTCCCATTTGTCTTCTAAAATACATGCTAGAAAAGAGCACCATAAATTATTAAATAATATAGAAAATGGTTAGATTTCAGGTCCACAATGAGCTGTGATCATGCCCAGTTTAATTATCAATGATTCCCTTCCCACATTTCAGTTCTTGAAACAGCACTGATGAGCAAGCAGCACACGTTTTCTAGGGGACTAAATGAATGAGTAAGAAGTTGTCATTACTACCTATTGATGCCAGGTTCCAGAAGGTTTCCTGCATCACCTCTCTGTAGAGTTTCTTCTGGGTCGGATCCAGGAAAGCCCACTCCTCCATGGTGAACTCCACATTAATATCCTCCAAGGCCACGGAGTCCTGCAACATCCCACATGTGGATACAGGCGGCTGGGTGAGACAGACAGCACTGGGATCTCTACATAATTCATAACAAGTTCACACAGGACACATGGTCCCCAACATTCATTCTATGACTTGGTTGTTGAACTATTATTTATTGGCCACACTCACTTCCTCATGAACACAAGGGATTTATTGCTATGTTTTTATTGTTATCATGTCAAGTCTTCATTGCTCTTTAATGTCAGGGTACAGAGCACTTTGTAGAAACTCTAAACAAATAAAAAAAATTTTGTATTTTAAGTACATCAATTCCATGTGAGAAAACTCATCTCCTTTAAAATGATCAGAAGATGCAGCACTCCATGAAGCACACTGTCATATCTGCATAAACTTTTAATGACAATGAATAAAATAAAGACCTGCATGCTTTTTCTTCTGTTCTTATCACTAAACACCAGAGGCCGGGAGCTCTGTGGAAATTCAACTTGTAACAAAATGCAGCTGGCCATATTGTCCTGAAGTACTCCAGATTATTAGATCCACCTGGCTGAATGAAAATATTCTTGTGGAGGAGAATGAATTATACTTTGTTCATATAATATTTATGACTGATTCAGTTTGACATTTTTTTTAAGTCTGTCTCATTTCATGGAGCTAGGAAGTTAGAGTTAGAGCTCAGGTGTGAAGAAGACAGTACAACTTAGACCTCTACAAAAGTCATGAGCCTCAAGACTACTTCATACCCCCCACCCCCAAATATAAGAGAAAGTTTATTTAGAAAGTCACAAAGGTAGAAGAAGTGAGCCACAGAAGAAATGGGCTCAGGAAACAAGTTACAGAGGCAAAAGAAGGGTCCATGGAACTTAGGAGAAAGAGAAAGGCAAGGCGACCACGCCTGGGAGAAAGGTGTGGGCATGCTCTACAGAGACGGCCACCTCTGCATACCAATTTTAGGACACATAAACACATATACTGAAACGACAAAAACCACACACAAAAAAGTCTTCCCAAAGAAATTGTAACACTGCAACCTGGGCTTCTACATTGAGGAACAAGGAGCTGAAAATTTCACATTGGCAAGGTCCGTCACTAAAATCCACAATCTTTTCATGTTGAATTGGCACGATTACAAATTATATAAGGTGCAGGGGTACTGAAAATATCAGGAGAAACACTTTGTCAAGTGTTTGATGGTCTAACCACTATGCCCTACACCTGATACTAATACAAAATAATATTGAATGTAAAGTGTAAGTGGAAGCATATACAGTGTTCATGGATAGGACAAATTAATATCATTAAAATGTTTATACTATCCACAGCAATCTACAGATCCAATTCTATTCCTATGGAGATACCAATGTGATATTTCACATAACTACAACAAATATTCCAAGTTTATATGGAACCACAAAATATCCCAAATAGTCACTGCAATCTTGAGAAAGAACAAAGTTGGAGAAATCACACTACCTTATATCAAACTATACTATAAGGCCATAGTAATCAAAATAGTATGGCAATGGCATAAAAACAGACACATAGATCAATGAAAAAAAAAGAAAGCCTCCAAATAAATCCAACCCTTTATAGTCAATTAATATTTGACAAAGGAGGCAAAGACATACAATGGACATACAGTCTATTCAATAAATGGTGTTAGGAGTATTAGACAGATATGTGCAAAAAAATGAAGCTAGACCACCTTCTTACATCATACACAAGAATAAACTCAAAATGTATTAAAGATTTGAATGTAAGGCTTAAAATCATAAAAATCCAAGAAGAAAACATAGGTAGTAAATTTTCAGACATTTATAGTGGCAATATTTCTTCTGATATATCTCAGGCAAGAGAAATAAAAATAAAAATAAACAAATGGGATTACATCAAACTAAAGAGTGTTTGCACAGCAGAGGAAACCAACAAAATGAAAAGACAACACCCTGAAAGGGAGAACATATTGCTAATGATACATCTGATACGAGGTTAATACCCAAAATTTATTAAAAATTTATACAACTGAACATCAAAAAAACAAAAACCACACAATCCAATTAAAAAATAAGCAAAAGACCTGTATAGACACTTCTCTAAAGAGGACATCAATCAACAGACATATGAAAAGATGCTCAATGTCACTAATCATCAGAGAAATGCAAATTGAAACCACAATGAGATATCACCTCCCACCTGTCAGAATGGCTATCATCAATAAATCCACAAATAAGAAGTGTTGGCGAGGATGTGGAGAAAAGGGAGCTTTCGTGTATTGTTGGTGGGAATGTAAATTGGTGCAGTCACTGTGGAAAACAGTATGGAGTTTCCTCAAAAAATTAAAAATGAAACTGCCTTATGACCCAGCAATTCTATTTCTGGGAATTTATCTGAAGAAACTCAAAACACTAATTCAAAAGACGATAGCACTCCTATGTTCATTGCATCATTATTAATAATAGCTAAGATTTGGAAGCCCTGCAAGTGTCCATCAGTAGACAAGTGGATAAAAAGCTGGGGTACATTTACACAATGAAATACCATTTGGTTATAAAAAGGAAGGAAATCTTAGCTTTTGCCACAGCATGGATAGACCTGGAAAGCATTATGCTAAGTGAAATAAGCCAGTCAGAGAAAGAAAAAATACCATATGATTTCACTTATATGTGGAATCTAATGAACAAGATAAACTAAAAAACAAAGTAGAGACAGACTCGGATATACAAAGAACAGACTGGCAGCTGTCAGAGGGGAGGGTGTTGGAGGGCTGGGTGAAAAAGGGGAAGGGATTAAGCAAAACAAACAAACAAACCAAAAACTCAGACATAGATAATATTACGGTGATTATAAGAGGGAAAGGGGTGTGCAGGGAGGTAGACGAGGGTAATGGGGGAGATAAAAGGTAATGGAGGGAGGCTTGACTTGGGTGGTGAACACACAATACAATATACAGATGATGTATTATAGAATTGTACACTTGAAACCTATATAATTTTATTAACCAATGTCATCCCAATAAATTCAATCAAAACTTTTAAAAAACCAAAACAAAGAAAATTTTTTAAGTTAAAAAACACACAAAGTTCAACGATGATTTTCTATAAAAACTAAAATAATATTCCTTTTCTCTAATTTCAGCCACAAGTGATTCCACTCTAGAGGCTCTTCTCCCAGCTTGTCTCAGTTCTGAGCTCCCTTGTGAGTTACAGCAGCAGGTCAGTCTCTCCCAGGCACAGGTCTTGCTCAATAGCATAAGTCCCCTAAATGCTGGTTCCAGAAAGAGATCAAGAACCCATTGATGTCTCTGTGTAGGGAACAGAGAGAAGGCTCCCACTCACCGATTCTGATGCAAGTGCCCACTACACACACAAATCACAATGATCTATTCAGAAGAGCAAAAACAAAATAGAAAAACCTCTCTTGTCTTAGGTCCAGGGAGAGTAAGATAAACTGCCTGGTTCAGCCCTAATGATTTTTTCTATAGAGGATCTACAGTGTCCACAACAAAGTACATAACAAAGTACCTTGTATGTAAATAAGGGTGCACATTAGCAGGCCCGAAATTGCTTATCCTTAGAAAGGCTTACTCACAAAGTTCATTTTTTGCTGGTATCTGGGTACTGGGATTTGGGAATGACCCCATCGACCTAACATATAGAAGTACCTCAGTTTGCCTAAAGCATTTATGCAAACAATATGGTACATAGCAAACTCTTGTTTTCCTTTTTAGATGTTATAATCTTGTTACATGTTCAACAGACCATGCACATGTGATGAGTCCCTAAAACACTGAGAATTGAGTCTCTGCTGAGCTTCCCTGGTAGACAATAACTGACATGTGTACTCACAACTTCTTGCTTGGAGACTGAGCTGATCCTGTGTGATCACACACACAGACAACATTTGGAAGCTCGCTTTGGCTTCCTCCAAATCAAATTTCATTCACTAATAAATAAGACTGAGACAGGATATTTAATGACCTCATGGGAAAATTAAATATTTTTTATTAGGCAATGTCTATGTAGAAGGAAATAAGTGAAAAAATGTTATGTGTTCTTAGAAACAATTCAGTGTCACCCAGATGTCACCTCTCCCAAATTATCTGCATCAAATCTCATAAATTTTTCAAGCAGACTCTTTTGGAGTCAACAGAGACTATGCCTTCAAACCTAATAGGAGGAAGGAATGTCCAAAGGTAGATGAAGTCTTCTTAAGATAAAGTGGCAGCTTACCTAACATATGTCAAATATTTTTAAGTTATGGTATTCTAGGTGGCACAGTATTAGGAGAGAGAAAAACAAACAGACCAAGGGAAAGAAAAAGTGTCTTCCATGGGCTAGCATTTAAGGTGATCAAGGACAATCCTTTAAGTTGATCAAGGACTGAGCAGACATTGCAAAGCAGTGGCAAATATCCTGAACGCTTTAATTCATGGAGCAGGTACAAAGTGTTATCTAATTGGAAAAATGCATTGTATTCCTCTCCATGGTTAATAGCCAATTCATTATAGATGTAAATGTGAAAGATAAATGATTTCTTGATACAAGAATAATGAGAATATTCTCATATAAGAGTAAGTGATCAAGCTTGAGACTGATAAATTTAAATATATTAAATTTCAGCAAGTTAAAAAATAAACAAAAAAGGGAAGAAAAATAACTGTAATACATGCAATATAAAAGGGTTAATTTTCAGAGTGAAAGTGAACAGACACATAATCTAAAAATGAAAAAATAAGCAAAATATTAACAGAAGATGAAAGATCACATTTGAAAAAATGTTCATTACCTTGGTATTAAGGGAATAGAAAAATAAAATATGCAGTAGATTCCATTTCTTAATGTTCAGAACAAAATTAGTCAATAATCCCATGTTGAAAACTACAGTGAATTAAATCACACACAAACAGAGGAAGTGTGAAGTGATACATCCCATTGCTATTGCCTGTAAAAGTGAACTTGATCACTATCTACATCCCAGAAAACTTTTAAGGATGTCCACAGAATTTATTTTATACTTGCATGTGGAGATTCATGCAAGCGTGGCAT